TGAGGCTGGAGAGATGGCTCAGCAGTTAAGAGCACTGGCTGCTCTTACAGAGGACCTGGGTCCAAGTCCCAGCACCCACATGGTGGCTAACAACCATCTATAACTCCAGTTCCAGGTGATCCAATGCCTTCTTCTGACCTCCATAGGTATTATATGACACAGTTGCACTTACATACATGCAAGCAATACAGTCATACACATAAAAATATATAAAAAATTTAAAGTTTATATGTATGTATGGTGCCCATGTTTATGCACACCACATACATACAGGTGCCTGTGCGGGCCAGAGGGCATTGGAGCCCCTGAAACTAGAGTCATAGGTGGTTGTGAACTGCCTGATATGGGTCTTCTGCAAGAGCAAATACTCTTAACCCCTGAGCCATCTCTTCAGGCCCATGTATTCTCATTTAAACAAACTTTTTTTTTTTCATTTTCGTATCAACTCCTAAAGCAAAACAAAGTAACCTACTGCTACTTCCATGAATCCTTGTTCTTACACAGCAGACATTGTTAATGATTCAAAGGCTATAAGCAAAAATCACAGGCCAATGTTGCTGACTCAAGAAAGCCCTATAAACAGCTTGCTCACTGTCCTCATCCCACATTGGAATGTATTTTGGGAAGTAACGGATGCACACTCTAAGTATGCCATTCTCTGCCCAAATCTGACTGAGTTACCGCATCCCTTTTAAGATGCCCTGAATGATGAGGCACTTTGTAATTCTTCACTGGGAATCATTCTGGTTTCAGATGAACAGCTGCCACTAGTGACAATACATGTGATTCGTGCCCACTCACAGGAAGCCAAGTTTGGTATACTCTTCCATTTGAAATGTGATTACTCATTCATGTAGGGATGAAGAGGTCACAAAGCTGACCAGATGCCCGTCTAGTACATCATAGTCTATATATACATGAACTCCATGATTATATTCGAACTTGTAAATGCCATTCATGAGCTTATACCATGGTCTGGCTGATGTCAGCCTTCCTTAGATATCTCCAAGGAAACAGGTAGTGATTCACGGGGCTGTACCTACTGAGGGAAATTTGAGAAGTAGGATGTCTAGACTCAAAGATTTTAAGTTTGATATTTACTGAACACCTTTGCAAAAGTACATGAGAAATACCTACATCCCATCCTCTCAGGCAAGGGCATCAGTCCTATTACAGTGCTCTTCCCTCCACACCTGTCTGTCTCCAGAAAATAAAAGCGTTTATGGAAGATGATGACATCACCAACACTATCATTTTCCTCACATCTAATCCCTGACCTTCTGCAGGATACCAGGTTGGCTAGGAATCAAGACCCAGTAAAATCAAATACAGCTTAGATGATGTAAATACTGGATTTATCTCACAGGGTTTTTAAATAATATTCAAATTTCCAGTAGAACTGACCAAAAATGAATAGTTTCATGGGACAACTTAGATTCATAGAAATCCACAAACAAACAAATACCATAACTAGTGGAGTATGGGGGTGCCTCTTATTCTAGCATTCAGGAGAATGAGGTTAAGATTTAGACCAGCCTGGGCTGGAGATAGATGTATGTACAAAACAAGCAAACCCAAAATTGCAGTAACTAAAATTAAGAATTGAACATGGAGATGGCTAAGCCGTCTGTTCTGCAGAGAATCCAGCATTTTGTTCCCAGAACCCACATAAGGCAGTTCACAACCACCTGTAACTGCAGCTTCAGGGGATCCAATGCCCTCTTCTGGCCTTCATGGGCACCTGCGGACATAAGGTGTATACACACACACACACACACACACACACACAAATAAAAAGGTTTGTGAGTCTATAATAATATATTATAAGGCCTACTTGCTTTGAATGTTTTTCCTTTGTTTTTGTCTGTTTTGAGAGAGAGTCTCATGTGGCCCGTGTTGACCTTGAGCTAGATATATGACTGAGATTGGTCTTGAACTCTTGCTCCTCATCTCTACCTCCCAGTGCTGGGATTACAAGTGTGTGCCCCATGCTCAGTGGTTTCTCTCTTTTACATCACCTTTTATAGTTTATGTTTACCCAGTGTTTAAAAGTTGTAAGGCTGAGGTGGGAGTCTTGAGTTTGAAGCCAGCAAGGGCTACGTGGTGAATCTGCCAAAAAGTTTCACTTTGATATGGTCCTACTTTGCTTTCTGTTGCCATGATAAAATGCCCTGACAAAAGCAACTTTGAAGGATAAAGGATTTATTCAGTTTACAATCCATCATTGTGGGGGAAGTCAAGGTGTCAGGAACTTAAAATAGCCAGTCACATCACAGCCACAGTCAAGAACAGAGATAAGTGAATCATGTGCGATCTCTACTCCTACAACATTCATAGCCCAGACTCAGGGAATGATGCCACCCACTTTCAGGCTGGGTCTTCCCACATCAATCATGGTAATCTACAGGCTGGAGAGATGATTCAGCAGTTAAGAGTGCATACTCCAGCTGGGTATGGGTGGTGCAGCTTTAATCCCAGCAGGCAGATCTCTCTGAGTTCAAGGCCACCCTGGTCTACATAGTGAGTTCCAGGCCAGCTGGGGTTACCCTGTCTCAAAAAAAACCAAAACCAAAACCAAACAAACAAACAAAAAACAGAGTGCATACTGCTTTTGCAGAAGACCTGGGTTTATTTCCCAGCTCTGACATCAGGCACTGATGCCAGACGCCCTCTTTTGACGTCTGTGGGCACTATGCACTTACACAGTGTGCATACATACATCTGGACACTCCCACATACACATAAAACAACAATAAAAATAAAAGACAATCCCCAAGAGACATGTTAGAAACATGTTAGGAGCTTCTCTAGACACCTCCTCAATTGAGACTCTTCCTAGGTGATTCTAAGTTGTGTCGATTTGACAATTAAAATTGTCACAGACATTGTATGGGTCTCTGCTCAATGAATTCCAGAAGCACTTTTCAACTATTCTAGTACCAAAAACTCAGAATCTCATGCAGTCTTTGTCAAAGTTCCAGTTTTTAGTGACTATAAGTGGGTGAGGACGTACAGTATACCACCAGACAAATCCAGTGTGTGGCAACTCTGGGCAAGGTGGATAAATGGATACATAATTTCAGTTTCTGTAGCAGGCTGTGACTGTCAGTAGGGAAAGAGGGGTGAATACTAGGTGATCAGACACCTGGGATTCATACAACAATCTGGTGAATGGATATGTGTTTTAACGAAGGAGAGGAAATGAGAGCGCAGCACCAAATCCAACCATTCTTCAGCAAGAGGCTCACTGTTGTGGTGGCAGCGTGGCAGGAACATGTCAGCCACACTAAGACAAAGTAAGGTGTTTCGGTTTTTTAAAAAGCAGGGGCTGGAGAGATGGCTCAGCGGTTAAGAACACTGGCTGTTCTTGCAGAAGTCGGAGCTTTGAATCCCTGCACCCACATGGCAGCTAACAACCATCCGTAATTCCAGTTGCGAGGGAATCCAACGCCCTCTTCTGACCTCTGTGGGCACTGCATGACACGGGTGCACTTACCTACATGCAGGCACTACATGCATACACATAAAATAAAAATAATAAATTTTTTTTTAAAAGCATTTACGTTTTTGTGTGTGAGAGGATAATTTGCAGGAGTCAGTTCTCCCCTTCCATCATGTGGGTCCCAGGGACTGAACTTAGATCAAAGGCTTAGGGGCAATCACATGTACCCACTGAGCCACCTCGTCAGTTGCAAACAGGGTCTTTTCTCTTTCCCTGCTGATGCACTGAGACTGACGGCCAGTTGGCTTTGAGCCTCCATGAGTTCTCGGCTATGATACTTTGCTCAGTCAAGGTGTTGTTCTCCTTTACCACGAAAGGCAATACATGGCGTTTTTGTTCTATCAATAGGCTGTACTAGAGATACTTAGGGACCAGCAACAGTTACAAGATCAAGATTCAGTGTTCCTTAATTTCAGTGTCTAGCACACTTAAGCAACCACTCCTGTTTCTCGGTTTTATCCTAGCCTTTGCTCCCCCTTAACGTCTGTGTCTGTGTGTGTTTGTCTCGAAGGGTACCACTGAATCACACCCCAGCCCCTCACTGGGGGATTCTAGGCAGGGGCTCTACTACTGAGCCACACCCCAGCCCCTCACTGGGGGATTCTAGGCAGGTGCTCTACCACTGAGCCACACCCCAGCCCCTCCCTGGGGTATTCTAGACAGGCGCTCTGCTCCTGAGCTACACCCCCAAAGGAGCAGCACAGTTTAGGTATTTAGCTTTTATAATACAAACTTCACTCTTACAAGGCTGCAGGTTTTTTTAAGTATCCACAATTGTGTTTTATAAGATTTCAGTAATAAAGAATACGAAAAAGAATTCCTTAATGTTAGCCTCAGATCTCTAATAAGCCCAACTGCCTTAAACAACCCTGAAGTTGTCAGGGCGACCCTCCAGTATTCTGGGGAATTTAGTCTCGGTAGGGCTAAGGCCACCGCGGCTCTTCCGCTGAGGCATTCTGGGAATTGTAGTCCGGGCGGCCGCGGCGGGCGGAGGCGCTTCCGCTCCGGGAAGGCGAGGCTGGGACTTCTTGGAGGCGGAGGTGAGCTGCCCGGATTGAGGCCTGTCTTGCGCGGCCTCCCCTCGAGGGTGTGCGGTGCGCGGGGACGGTGTCTCCTTACACACCGCCGTGGCCGGGCCTGGGTCCCCTCGGGGAGCCTCATGCTCCCCCAGACCCTGCTCCGGGCTCCAAGCCCTCCTCTTCTGGGGGTGCACACAGGGCAAGTTACCCCTTGGCTCTAAGGGCCAGCGCCATCCCAGGGGTTTTTTGTACTAAACTGCAGGAGACCCTACAAGTAGATGATGCTTCAGAAGCCCCTGCCTCGAACGCTGGCGGCTTGCAACTCTTTCTCTAGTAATACTCCTAGAGACGCCTGTTTGGAGGGACATGAGCCCAGCAGCGGGTGCTAGCCCCAGCTGCACAGTCGCCGCCCACTTCGCTAGGAAAGCCTCCTGAAGCGGTTTGGTCTGGAGTTTCTGGAATAATCTGAGCTGTCTCTAGGCAGCAGGAGAGCAGAGCTTCCTCCCTGGACCATGGGGAGTGCCCTCTGTGTTTATCCAAGGCAGAGGAACCACATGATCACAGATGGGCCGAGTGTTTTGAGACCTTAGGTGGTATGCAATTACACTTTTTAAATTTAGGTTTTGCTCTGGGCGGGGTGTGTCGTGTCGCTTGTGTGAAGGTCAGAAGACAACTTGTGGGAGTTCTCTCCTTCTACCATATGGGTTTCGGGGATTAACCCCAGACTGTCAGAATTGGGGGCAAGCCCCTTTACCCGCTGAGGCAGCTGGCAGGCCCCAGCTCCATTTCTTTTGAGTTTTAAGTTTTTATTTGTCATTAACTTGGACTTGGGAAATGACACTTTGTGGGGACTCTTGTAGCCGAGTAACATTTACAAGTAATTATAGCTATTAGAGAAAGAGAAAAGACATGACAATTTAACTCTATGCCCCGAACCATTTGCACAAGAGATACCCAGTCACAATTAACAGATATTTCTGAGGCTGATGGTCTGTAAGTTCTGGGCTTTTTTTTTTTTTTTAATCCAAGTACTTAAAAAAATATTTTATTATTTTAATTTTATCTTTATGCATATATTGCCTGCATGTAGGTAAGTGCACCCATGTCGTCCAATGCCGGAGGAGGTCAGAAGAGGCTGTCAGATCCCCTGGGACTGGAGTTACAGACAGTTGTTAGCTGCCATGTAGGTGCTGGGATTCTAACCCAGGTCTTCTATAAGAACAACCAGTGTTTTTAACTGCTGAGCTACCTCTCCAGCCCCAAGTTCTGGGTTTCTTAAAAGGTTCATTTTCAGGGACGCACATTGCCACAGGTAGTTCTGTGGAGCGTAGTAACATCTGCTTCTCTGAAACTGCAGGGAAATAGAAAACGTGGTCCTTGTGGGGGAGTGAGGTGAAGCATGGAGAGAATAGCATCTTACTCGAGGTTTACACTGCTGGTTAGTAGAAATATATTGAGGCTAGGTCTAAGGCACCTCAGGGATGAGGCAGAAGGAAGGAGAGAGCACACAGCTGTATGCAGGTGTGTCTGCCTGGAGATGGGAGGACATGCAGGTGGATCCCCTGCATCCCTAGCAGCACTCTCATAGGGCTTTTCCTCCCACAGTCTGCTTCCCAGATCTCTGCCTTTTCCCAGAGGGAAGAAGAAAACAATGACCAAGCTACAGGTAAGTTGGGTTTACTTTGCTTTTTCAACTCCCAGTACTGGAGATTGAGTGAGTGGTACTTAATCATCACCACCCCCCACCCCTCACTGGGGGATTCTAGGCAGGTGCTCTACCACTGAGCTACACCCCAGCCCCTCACTGGGGGGTTCTAGGCAGGTGCTCTGCCACTGAGTCACACATGCCCCCAGCCCCTCACTGGGGGATTCTAGGCAGGTGCTCTACTACTGAGCTACACCCCAAGCCCCTCACTGGGGGATTCTAGGCAGGGGCTCTACCACTGAGTCACACCCCAGCCCCTCACTGGGGGATTCTAGGCAGGTGCTCTACCACTGAGCCACACCCCCAGCCCCTCACTGGGGGATCCTAGGCAGGTGCTCTACCACTGAGCCACCCCCCAAGCCCCTCACTGGGGGATTCTAGGCAGGTGCTCTACCACTGAGCCACACCCCAAGCCCCTCACTGGGGGATTCTAGGCAGGTGCTCTAATACCCAGCCACACCCCCACTTTCATTTTATTTTTAATCTAGAGTCCCTCAGATGGTTACTGAGTCACTACCTGCAACTCCAGCCCTAGGGGATTCAACGCCCTCCTCTGGCCTCTTCAGACACTTGCACTTCTGTGCACATACCCACACACAGACACACAACATTTTTCATGATTTCCCTAATTTGATTTTGCCTGGTTCTCCATACTTAAGTAATTTATAAATTTCATCTTCTTAAGATTTTTTATATTAACATGTTGTGCCCATGCCACAGCATGTGTGTGGCAGTAAGAGGACAGCTTTGGGGCGTCAGCTCTCTTCCACCTTGCTGAAGCTGGGCCTCTTCTATCTCTGCCACTCTCGCCTATCCCTGGGGCTCATTGGGCAGCCCAGCCTGCTTGGGGATTCCAGGCCAGAAGAGACCATGTCTCAAAAGTATAAAATGGTGGCCAGCAGCTGAGGAAGGACACTGGAGGCTGGCCTCTGGCCTCTACACGCACATACACACACATGCAGGCAGATACACAGAAGACCAGTTATTTTTGCATTTGCCATGTCTGGTGTTTAATCCTGAAGTTTGGGGAATATCTGTCAAAGAAGAACCAGACACTAGGGACACCTTCACCCAGGACATACTAGTCACACTTGCCACATCTGATCCTGGGATGGAGTATTCTGTTTTATTCACCTGAGTGGAACATCTAAAACCCTGGCTTGGTCACTGGAAACACGTTGGCTTCTCATGCTGGGCCTCGAGCAGGTGTCTAAAGGTGCCAAGCCTGTGTCCTTGTGTTCTACACACCCTGGGGACCATCATCTTGCCCAGCTGCTCCACAGAGTCAGTGCCTAGAGAGCCGTGGGGTTATTAGATTTCTGAAACAATGTCCAGCCCAGGAGGCTGAGGCATAATTCAGGTGATAACACACCTTTATTTTGCTAATAATAGTGGCAATTTTCCCAATTAACTTTCCTATAAGAAGTTGCAAATATCTCTGATTTTTTTTTTTTTTTTTGGTCTTTTTGAGATAGGGTCTCTCTGTAGTCCCAGCTGGCCTAGAACTCGCTATGTAGACCAGGCTGGCCTTGAACTCACAGAGATTTGCCTGCCTCTGCCTGGTATTAAAGGCATGCACCACCATGCCCAGCATATCTGATTTTTAATACTCTGGCCCAAACTAGACACTTATTTTTTTAAATATTGGGTAATTTTGTAAATGATAAAAATCACTTCTCCTGGGCATGGTGGCACACACCTTTAATCCCAGCACTCGGGAGCCAGAGGCAGGTGAATCTCTGTGAGATCAAGGCCAGCCTGATCTACATAGGATCAAGTTCTAGGCCAGCTAGGTCTACAAGGAGACCCTGTCTCAACACCCCTACCCTCCAAAAAATAACAAAATAAATCTTTAAGAAAAACAGCTCTGGGGCCCTAACTTCTTAAAAGGCACATGTTTCCCTCTCCAGTGTCTTTGTATTTTGTTCGTTTAACCGTTCCCACCTCCCATTTGTGCCCTCATGGAAGGGGCTGACTAGGAACTTCATTGAAGATGTTCGCGTCCTAGTGGCATTGGATGTCAAATTGAGAGTACCTGTGTTTGTGACACAGGAGATGGTGACGTTCGGGGACGTGGCCGTGGTCTTCAGCGAAGAGGAGCTGGGGCTGTTGGATACTGCGCAGAGGAAGCTGTACCAGGACGTGATGCTGGAGAACTTCAGGAACCTTCTGTCAGTGGGTGAGGACGGATGTCCCTTGGCCAAGCTCTATGAAGCAGGGTTCCCAACCAAGGTGCTCTTTTCTGGTGTGTGTGCACGTGCGGAGGCCAGAGGCCCATGTCGGTATCCTTCTCAGTCGCTCTCTGCTTTCTGTTTAAGTTGCATCTCACACATCAGTGCTGTACTTAAAAAATTATGTTTTGTGTGTGTGTGTGTGTGTGTGTGTGTGTGTGTGTGTGTGTATGCCTGTGTGTGTGAGAATATGCACATACATGACATGCATGTGGAGGTCAGAGGGCAGCTTTCCATAGTTTACCATGTGGGTCTCCAGGATCAAACTCCGGTTGTTGGGTTTGACAACAAGCTCCTTTACCCACTGAGCCATCTTACCAACCCCCCCCCCCCCATTATATGAGACAAGGTTTCTTCACTGAACCTGGAACTCAGAATGGGCTGGACTGGCTAGCGAGTGAGCCCCAAGGGGTCCTTGTGTCTCTGCCTTCCCAGCACTGGCATTAGGAGGATGCAGTGCCACACCTGACTTTTACGTGGGTTTGGGGATCACACTCAGGTCCTCTTGCATGGCAAGCACTTTGCCCACCAAGCCGTCCCTCTAGTCCTCAGAACCATGCCGTTCTTGACATTACGGCTGGGCACATCTCTGCTGTGGGCACTGGCCTGTGCATTTAGCAGCATCCCCCCGCCCCTGCCCAGGAGGATAAATTCAAGGTCATCTTCAGCTGCATAGTAAGTTCAAGGTCAGCCTGGGCTACATGAGACCCTGTGTCAGAGAGGGAAAAAAATGTCTGTGTGCATGAGTGTCTGATGTATGTATTTGTATGTATATATGTGTGTGTGATGTGTATATGTGTGTGTTTATGTATATATGAGTATGCATGTGTCTATATATGTGGATTTGTATGTATGTGTTGTGCGTGTGTGTGTGTGTGTGTGTGTGTGTGTGTGTGTGTGTGTGAACTGCTTGAGTAGGGCCAGGGCAGACCCTTCATTATGAGGCTAAGATGTTGCAACCCTGTTTGCCTTTCGGTTTTCACAGGGTATCAATCTTTCAAACCAGATGTGATATCCCAGCTGGAGACGGAAGAAAAGCTGTGGGTGACAGAGCTCCAGACCCAGCAAGGTAGGCACTGGGTGAGACCGAAGCTCAGCCTGGGTCTTCCACTTTGTCTGGGGTCCCCCTTCCCCCCAGCAACCAGAGAGGCCTTTAAGACCAGTCCCTTGCTGTCACTCCTGTTTCCCATTTCACTCAGAGTAAAATCCACTTTGGGGTTTCTTATGTTTGTTTTTGAGGTGGGGCCTTGTGTAGCCTAGGGCGTCCCAGAATGGTGCTCCTCCTGCCTCAGCCTTCCAGACACAAGGATGGCAGGCCTGGACTGTTGTGCTTGGCTGGAACCCCGCCTTCTTAGGGGCACACGAGTTCATGGCAGGCTTTCTCACCCCCAGCTCTGCTGTTCTGTACTTTTGTCCTGCTTCCGTCCTTTTCTGTCTTTGCTGCTCTGGCAGTGTCCTCCAGTGGGCCCGCTGTAGTTCCGCCCAGGGCCTGCTGCTTGCTTTTCTCTGAGAATGCTCTTACCCAGGAAAGCACCACGGCCTTCTTCCCTCTGCCTTTGACTCCACTCAGAAGGTGGTTTTGTATGTGGTGGGCTGAGGACAGATCCTGTGTGTGGATGTTCAGCACCAGATAGAACAGACCATCCTCCCCCAGAGCCGCCACCGCCACACAGATGGGCTGGTTTCTGGGTCTCGCCCTCCCGTTGACCTTTGTGTCTTTTCATGCCATCCCATGCTGCTCTGGTTACTGTCGCTCTTCTGTGTGTTTCTGGGTCACATATTGTGACACTTCCAGCTTCGTCTCTTGGTCAAGGTTGCTTTGGCTGCATCCATACCTGATATCCATACCTGGTTTTGTATCTGTAACATTGGCAGGTGACAGTGAAACTGTTTGGTCTGGGGCTTCTCTTTGTTGAGAGGTTTTTAAATAACAGACTCTTAACCAGTTAAGATTTTTATTTTATTTTTTTTAAGATTCACTTATTAGTGAATTCACTTACTAGTCTCACTATGTAGCCCTGGCTGTCCTGGAACTCGCTATGTAGACCAGGCTCACCTGGAACTCATAGAGATCCACCTGCCTCTGCTGGAATTAAAGGAACATACCAACACTCCCAGCCTTTAAGATTTATTTTATTTTGTTTTATTTTTTAAAGTCTTTTTGGTCCTTGAGACAGGGTCTCCCTGTAGCCCCAGCTGATCTAGAACTCGCTGTGTAGACCAGGTTGACCTTGAACTCACAGAGCTCTGCCTGCTTCTGCCTCCTGAGTGCTGGGAATAAAGGCATGTGCCACCATGCCCAGTGATTTATTTTTAATTATGTGTGTGTGAATGTCTGTGCACATCTGAATGCAGTGCCGGTGGAGGTCAGAAAAGGGGCTAGAATTATAGGCGGTTGTGAGTCATCCAAGTGGGTGCTAGGAACCAATTCACAATTCAGACATTGTGGGTTATGTGTTCTTAGCAATTTATCTATTTCTTTTTGGCTTATAACAATATAGTCATAATATTCTAATCATTTATCTATCTGCAAGGTCAATAACATCTTTACTTTCAACCTGATTATAGTTGATTTTCACTCTTCCCCCCATGTAATATGACCATCAATTTTAATCTTTTTGAGATCCCCTGGGTTTTTTGGGTTTTATTTTAACCTCTATTTTTTATTCTTAATCATCTTCTGCTAACTTTGGGTTTATTCTCCCTCAGGCTGTAAAGTCAGGCTGCTAGGTGTCACTGTGTGTTGGTATATGTGTAGGTACATGTGCCTGTGGAGGTCAGAGGTCAACCTTGGGTGTTGTTCAGTCAGAGTCTCTCTTTGGCCTGAGCTCTCCGAGTAGACTTGGCCTGGCTGGCCATCAAGCTCCAGGAATCTTCCTGTCTCCTCCTCCCCAGTGCTGGGATTACAAGTGCACACCCTGTGCCTGGCTTCCTTACATGGGCTTTGAGGACTGAGTAGCAAGCATTTTACCAACTGAGCCATCTCTCCCACCTTTTAAAAAATTTTTATTCATTTTTATTTTTTGTGTGTGATTTGCCTGTATGTATGTGTATGTAAGTGCACCCATGCCATGCAATGCCCACAGAGGCCAGAAGGGAGTATTGGATCCCCTGGAACTGGAGTTACGAATGGTTGTTAGCTGCCATGTGTACTGAACCTGGGTCCTCTGCAAGAGAAGCCAATGCTCTTAACCACTGAGCCATCTCTCTAGCCCCCCTAAAATCTTAGATCTTTTGCAAACAACATGTATTATTTTGGACCTTGGGTAGGGGTGGTTTTTTAAGACAGTCTCACTCTGTAGCCCAGGCCGACTGTGAGCTCAAGACAGTTCTCTTGCCTCAGCCTCTCATGTTCTGAGATCATAGACACTAGCCACCATACCTGGCTCGTTTTGCTTTTTAAAATCCAGTCTTCTCAGGAGGCAGAGGCAGGCAGAGCTCTGTGAGTTCCAGCCAGCCTGGTCTACATGGTGAGTTCCAGGCCAACCAGGACTAAGTAGTGAGACCCTTTCTCAAAAAACCAAAACCACAATAAAAAATCATAAAGTTAACTGTGCTATGTTTTGTCAACTTGACATAAACTAGAGTCACCTGGAAAGAGGAAACTTCAATTGAGGAATTTCCTCCATCAGAGTGTCCTGTGGGCAGTGCCACCCGTGGGCAGGTGTGCCTAGGCTGCGTAAAATAAGTAGCTGAGTAAACCGGGAGGAAGCAGGCCCATGAACGGCGTTCCTCAGTGTGAACGGCGTTCCTCAGTGGTCTGTGCTTTAGGTACTGCCTCCAGGTTCCTGCCTTGGCTTCCCTCAGTTGATGAACTGTGATCCCGACGTGAAGCCAATAAACCCTTTCCTCCCCAAGTTGGTTTTGGTCAGTTTTTCATCAGAGCAACGGAGAGCAAAGTAGAACGTCGAGCCTTCACCCTGGGCTCACCCCACATTTCTTACCATTTTAAACATGGCTCACTCTTGAGTCAGCATTCTCTTTGATGACGGTGAACCTTTGCCTCTCAGACCTCCCGCCAGTTTGCCTTACATGCTAGTCTCATTGATTCTCTGTGTTTCCAAAGGAAGTGAGGACTGGGACTCCCCTCATCCCCATCCTTGCTCACACCTCTGTTCTCTTTACTCTTCAGGAGGCTGGAGTCCAGACAAGGAGCCTCTCCATGCAACAGGATTGAGGTGCCTGTTGCTGGGGGAGCTTTCATGCTGGCAAATCAAGAGCCACGTTGTGAACAAACTTGCCAGAACTCCAGACTCCAGCATAAGCACTCACGGAGAGAGCTCTCACTTCCCCCAACAGTGTGGTGCTTCCTGCCTCGGGGGGCCAGAAGGAGCTGCTCTGGCCTCTCTGGATGATGACTATCTTGCAAGCCTCACAGGACATCATTCTAGGAGTATTGAAAATCGAGACTTTCCAGCTGGGAGAGCTCCAAGTTCTTGGAGTAGAACACATCTGGGTGAGAGACAGAACCATCAGAAACATGAACAGACCCAGGTGAGAAACAAGCTACATCAGCTGGCTCCGGGTGTTGACATTCTGAGTTGCATTTCACACCACAACAATATGCTGCACGGAAGAGACAAAGCTCACAGCAACAGTGAGTGTGGTAAGGGAGTCCTAAAGGTGTCCCCTCTTAGCCAGCGTCGTGTGTACCTAGAACCGAAGGCCCACCAGTGTGGTAACAGTGAAGACGCCTTCAGTGACGGCCCTAGTCTTGAGCTTCATCGGCCGGCCCACCTAGGAAAGAAGTCCCCTGTATGTGGAACACAGAAAGACAGCAAGCATGGCTCCCGAGCTCCTGTCCAACCAAACATCCACCCAGGGAAAAAGCGCTACTGGTGTCACGAGTGTGGCAAGGGTTTCAGTCAGAGCTCAAATCTGCAGACTCACCAGAGAGTGCACACAGGGGAGAAGCCCTATACTTGCCCCGAGTGTGGAAAGAGCTTTAACCAGAGCTCACACCTGTACGCTCACTTGCCAATCCACACAGGTGAGAAGCCCTACAGATGTGACAGCTGTGGGAAAGGCTTCAGCCGTAGCACAGATCTGAACATCCACTGCCGAGTCCACACTGGAGAGAAACCTTATAAATGTGAGGTGTGCGGGAAGGGCTTCACGCAGAGGTCACACCTCCAGGCCCACGAGAGAATCCACACAGGAGAGAAGCCGTATAAATGTGGAGACTGTGGCAAACGCTTCAGTTGTAGCTCCAATCTTCACACCCACCAAAGAGTCCACACCGAGGAGAAGCCGTACAAGTGCGACGAGTGTGGGAAGTGCTTCAGCTTGAGTTTCAATCTTCACAGTCACCAGCGGGTCCACACGGGAGAGAAGCCATACAAATGTGAAGAGTGCGGCAAGGGTTTCAGTTCAGCTTCAAGCTTTCAGAGTCATCAGCGGGTCCACACAGGGGAGAAGCCATTTCGCTGCAACGTGTGTGGGAAAGGCTTCAGTCAGAGCTCGTATTTTCAAGCCCACCAGAGAGTCCACACCGGGGAAAAACCCTATAAATGTGATGTGTGTGGGAAGCGCTTCAATTGGAGTTTGAATCTTCACAATCACCAGAGAGTCCACACAGGAGAAAAACCCTATAAATGTGAAGAGTGTGGGAAAGGCTTCAGTCAGGCCTCAAATCTGCAGGCTCATCAGAGTGTCCACACCGGGGAGAAACCATTTAAATGTGATGCTTGCCAGAAGCGGTTCAGTCAGGCCTCCCACCTCCAGGCCCACCAGAGAGTCCACACGGGGGAGAAGCCCTATAAATGTGATACCTGTGGGAAAGCCTTCAGCCAGAGGTCAAATCTCCAAGTCCATCAGATAATTCACACTGGGGAGAAGCCGTTCAAGTGTGAGGAGTGTGGGAAAGAATTCAGTTGGAGTGCAGGGCTCAGTGCTCATCAGAGAGTCCACACAGGAGAGAAGCCCTACACGTGTCAGCAGTGTGGGAAAGGCTTCAGTCAGGCCTCACACTTCCACACGCACCAGAGGGTCCACACCGGAGAGAGGCCCTACATCTGTACTGTCTGTTGTAAGGGTTTCAGTCAGAGATCACATCTTGTGTACCACCAGAGGGTCCACACTGGAGGGAATCTGTAGGACCTAAGGTTTGGAGCCACCGTCCAGTAGAACTCACTTCACAGCTTCATCTCCTCTCAGAGTCGTGCTGCCAACTGCTGGAAGTTCTCTCTGAACCCAGAAGTTCCAAAGAATCTTCAGAGAAAAGAAGCTCCCTCATTTGGGAGATCAATTCTTTATAAATGTCAGATTTCACAGATGAGAGAAAATTTGTTCTATAACATATGATCACTGCTTATGCCAGAGTTCCAAAGTGTTGCTGTCCTCAAAATATGACACAGCAGAACAATCCCAGCATCCATTCAAGTCTACCAAGAGAGGCCTTGGGAAGAACTTCAGAGTGTGGTGGTCGACAGAACTGGTATAGCTCAAATATCACTTCCTCGTAGGAAGCTCTGCTGTATCTCTGCTGTGCAGAGCTGTGTGCCACTCAGGGCCCAGCCATTTCTGAAGCAAGTGGAGAAAGTCACTATAAGTAAGGCCCATATTTGTAAACGCTAGCCAGTTCCCAACCCTACATTCATATTCATATTCATGCATAATCCTATAAGTAGCCTTAAAAAGCTTCAGAAAAGCATCACCAGTGTCTCAGGCCTGTAGTGTATGGCAGGCCCCATGCAGCCTCTGTGCTTTGTACAGTGTACCAGTTGTGTACAGTTTGACTTTTAGCATTTGTACTTTGTAGATTTTAAAATGCTGTTTTTATCAGACTAATGACACTACAATGTACATGATTTGGAATCTGGAGTCCCAAGTTCATTGAGACAGGTTTTATATAACCAGTACTGCAAATGTTTTTTACAGAGTGCTGATGACAAAAAGTTTTAGTAAACTTGAATTGTTAATAGTTTCTTCTCACTGTTTCCACTCAGCCTTAGCTCAGGTCATCCTTCCTCCAGCTAGGTTTCTCCAGAAGGCACTTCGGCTCTGTCTTAGACTGTTCTGTGCTGCTCTGACAGATTCTCCAAGACTACCAACTACAAAGACCAGACATGTATGTCTTATAGCTTCAGAGTCTGGGAAGGTCAAGGGGCTGTGTCTGGCAGGAGGTAAAATGACCAGGGGGAATGTAGGCCCCATTATCGTGGTAACTGACCTCCCACTGTAACCATGAATCCACTCAGGAGGCAGAGCCCTCATGACAACCACCTCTCCAAACCCTGTCTCTCCACACATGCATCATGGGTTACATTTCAATGCAAAGACTTGGGTTGGGGGTGGAGGGAGGGACACATCCAAGCCACAGGTAGATTTTAGCGGGGGGTCTTTATTTTGCAAATTCCTAACCCCTACCAGAATTTTCCCTAAAATGAGGAGGGACATCCCAAGAAACCTCTTCCATTTAGTTGAAATGTCATCAAGTGTGACGTCCTGTTTCAGGGCCATCTTAGGCGTGAATGTCATGAGTTCTGGGGAGATCAGCTGGTCAGTGTGTATTAGAATACCCTTCTGGGGCTGGGGAGATGGCTCAGTGAGTAAAATGTGTGCCATACAAGCATAAAGACCTGAGTTCAAACCCCCAGAGAACCCATGTGAAAGTGGGACATTGTAGGGGCAGGAGAGATGGCTCAGTGGTTAAGAGCACTGACTGCTCTTGCAGAGGACCTGGGTTTGATTCCCAGCACCCACATGGCGGCTATGAACCATCCTTAACGCCAGTTCCAGGGGAATCCGAAGCCCTCTTCTGACCTCCTTGGCATTGCACAACACAGGTGCACTCACATACGTGCAGGCAATACACTCATACACTAAAAATAAATTTAAAAACAGAAAGTGGGACATTGTAGCGTGAGCATCTGTAATCCCAGCATCTGATGGGGGAGATGAGGGATGGAGACAGGAGGATCCCCAAAAGCTCATGGGCCAGCTAGCCTGGCATACACAGCAGGAAAACAACAGAAACCCTGTTTCAAATGAGGTGGAAGGCAAGGGTGGACACCTGAGGTTGTCCTCTGACCTCCACATGTGCATTCACATATTTTTTTTTTTTTTTCTGTTTTTGTCTTTTTGAAACAAGGTCTCCCTGTAGCCATAGCTGGCCTGGATTTTCTGATGGAGACTAGGCTGGCCTCGAACTCAGAGATCCGCCTGCCTCTGGGATTAAAGGCATGTGCCACCACGCCCAGCTTCATACACGTTTTATAAATGCACAACAAATACCCTTTGGGGCCAACGAAACAGCTACATAGGTAAAGGCACTTGCTGCCAAGGCTGGTGATCTGAGTTCAATCCCTGGGACCCACATGGAGGAAGGACAGAACCAACTACTCTAAGCTGTCCTCTGATCACATGTGTCCAAACACAGGCAAAATAAATGTAGGAAAAAAAATGTTAACTTTTTAAAAAATTTTATTTTTATGTGTGTGTGTGTATTGCCTGCATGTAGGTAACTGCACCTGTGTCGTGCAATGCCCTTGGAGGTCAGAAGAGGCTGCTAGATCCCCTGGGACTGGAGTTACGGACAGTTTTTAGCTGCCATGTGGGTACTGGGATTTGAACCTGGGTCTTCTGCAAGACCAACGAGTGTTCTTAACTGCTGAGCCATCTCTCCAGCCCATAGAAAAAAAAAATTTAAATACCTTTGAAGAACTGGATCTTGATGGCACACACCTTTAAACCCAGCACTGGGGAGGCAGAGGCAGGTGAATCTCTGTGAGATGGAGGCTAGCCTGGTCTACATAGAGAGTTCCAGGCCTGCTGGGGCTATAGGGAGACCTTGCCTCAGGAAACAAAACCCCTTTGACCTGCCACGCCTACCACTAGGACTTTATGTAGGAGATTGCAACAGAAGTGGGAGGAACCACCTGCAAGGGTATTGACAGGAATGTTTTAAAAGAGAGAAATAGTAAAATTTTAATTTTGCTATATTCTAATACAGAACCATTAAATTGATTTGTAATGTGACAGGGATGAACTCACAATGTTTATGAGAAAATTAGGATAGAGTCTTCTGGTATGATTTGGTTCATAGAAATTGGTGTACCTAGAGATAATTATGTGCATAGAGATACGTGCAGAAGAACATCCATGGGCATGATGAAGGGGTGATGGAGTGGGTTAGATGACTCATCAGGTAAAGGTGCCTCCGCAGCCAAGCCTGGCAACCTGACTTCAATCCCTGGAACCCATATCGTGCAAGGAGAGAACTGACTCCTGCAAGTTTTCTCTGACCTCCACATGTGGACCATGTCACTTGTGCTCACACACACACTAATTACATTTTTTTCAATTTTTAAAAAAGATTTTAGGCTGGGCGTGGTGGCCCATGCCTTTAATCCCAGCACGTGGGAGGCGGAGACAGGCAGATCTCTGTGAGTTCAAGGCCAGTGTGGTCTACATAGTTGGGTTCCAGGCCAGCTGGGGCTATAGGAAGACCCTGTCTCAAAAAACAAAAATAAAAATATTATGTATGTATGTATATATATATATATATATGGGCTGGAGAGATGGCTCAGCAGTTAAGAATACTGGTTGTTCTTGCAGAAGACCTGGGTTCAAATCCCAGCACCCACATGGCAGCTAACAACTGTTCATAACTCCTCTTCTGACCTCTGAGGGCATTGCACGACATGGGTGCACTTATATGCATGCAGGCAATACACGCATACACATAAAATAAGAATGAATAAATAAAATTTAAAAAAATATATTTTATATGTATGACTATTTTGCCTGCATGCATATAAGTGCACCCATACATGCAGTGCCAGTGGAGGCCAGAGTGGGCATCAGATCCCTCAGAACTGGAGTGCTGGGAACTGAACCTCAGTCTTATTTTGAGCCATCTCTCCAGCCCCCATTTAAAAAAAAAATTTTTTTTTTTTGGTCTTTTTGAGACAGGGTCTCTCTGTAGCCCCAACTGGCCTGGAACTCAACTATGTATACCAGGCTGGCCTTGAACTCATCAATTTTACCAAATAGTAAAGATGAAACAAAATTATGCAGAAAGGAATTTTTTTTAGTTCATTGCTTTATCATATGTGTAGACCTGTGTTACAAAACAGATCTGCAATGGGACTGGAGAGAGGGCTCAGCGGTTAAGAGCACTGGCTGCTCTTGCAGAGGACCCTGGTTCAGTTCCCAGCACCCACATGGCAGATAACAACCATCCATAACTGCAGTTCCAGGGGATCTAACGCCCTCTTCTGATCTCCATGGGCGTTACATGGCACGGATGCACTTACACTCATGCAGGCAGTACATTCACACATAAATTTTTTTTTAAAGAGACATGGGGCTGGAGAGATGGCTCAGCGGTTAAGAGCACTGACTGCTTTTGCAGAGGACCCAGGTTCGATTCCCAGCACCCACGTGGCAACTAACAAGCATGCGTTTCTAATCTCTATATATCTGATTATTACTAGTCACAGTTGGTTACTTTCTGAGCTCCTTGGCATCTGAGCATGGATATAAAGCCATCAGGTAGATTTCAATGGTAATGTTTTTCACATGTACTAATTATTAAGGAGCAAATTTTTATGCTTTGAAGAATTATTATGTTTTAAATTTTTTTAAATTTAATAACCACTTGATTAGAAGAAGCATTTAATTACAGCTTTAACATACTCAGTAATACTCCAGGGCAAGGATACGTCTCTTTCAAAGGTGGCTGTAAATTTTTAGGTTCACAGTTGAATACCATCATACAATATTGAACTCAGTATAAATCCTGTAAGACATAAAATTGAATGAGTTTTTAACCTTTAAAAAAGATCCCCATTTTAGAATATATTGTCCCTTGCAGAAAGATGGCTAACAGCCATCCCTAACTCCAATTCTAGGGGATCCAGCACCCTCTTCTGATCTCTGTGGGCATTGCACAACACTGGTGCACTTACATACATGCAGGCAATACACTCATACACATAAAATAAAAATAATATAGTAGGGAATAACAATATAAGGGCTCTAGTGGGGGGGGGAGGCTATGGGAGGGTGCCATCTGGGAAGTGGGGGTATAGTTGAATAAGATGGTTTGGGATGTTCTGTGTGATATATACACACACACAAAAAAAAGCAACAAATTTTAAAAAATAAAAGAGATGTGCAAAGGGTCATTGGTTAGGGCAGACTTGGCCCTAAGTTCAAGCACCTGAAGAGTCTGATGGAAAAATGTGCATTTTTCTGGACTAGAGCCACAAAAGAGTCCAAAGGCCAACACCATACTACTGGAGAAATTACATGGGGAAGATAGTCTGGAAGATGACAGCCAGGGAGAAGCTGCCAGATTCTATGTGATTGCATGTGCCTGTGATCTCAACACTTGGGAAGCAGGCAGGAAGATCACGAGTTCAAGAACATCCTTAGCCAGGGGCTGGAGCGATGGCTAAGTGGTTAAGAACACTTGCTGTTTTTCCAGAGGACCCAGGTTCAATTCCCAGCACCCACATGGCAGATAACAACTGTCTGTAACTCCAGTTCCAGGAGATCTGATGCCCTCTTCTGGTCTCCACAGGTTTTGCATGACATGGGTGCACTTACATACATGCAGGCAATACACTCATACACATAAAATAAAAATAATAAATAAGGAGTGTAGTGTTGTGGAGGGCGCTGAAGGCTGTGGATTGCCTTCCCGGAGAGTCGGTCCTCTGTGCCTGCGTCCTCCTGTGCGCGGGATCTGGGCCGCTGCGGGAAAGGAATAATGCTGTCATCATGTCTGCACACTCCATGCTTTGTGAGAGAATCACCATAGCCAAGGAACTGATCAAGAGGGCAGAATCACTTTCTAGATCAAGAAAAGGTGGCATAGAAGGTGGTGCAAAGCTGTGCAGCAAATTGAAGGCAGAATTAAAATTCTTACAGAAGGTAGAAGCTGGTAAAGTAGCTATTAAAGAATCTCATTTACAAAGCACAAATCTAACACACTTGAGAGCCATTGTGGAATCGGCAGAAAACCTGGAAGAAGTTGTCAGTGTCCTTCATGTTTTTGGTTACACAGATACCTTGGGAGAAAAGCAGACCCTTGTGGTGGATGTTGTCGCAAATGGTGGTGAAAGCCATTGGCCGAAAGGCTGAAGCGCTGCATAACATCTGGCTGGGCAGGGGCCAGTATGGTGACAAAAGCATCATTGAGCAGGCTGAGGACTTCCTCCAGGCCAGTCACCAGCAGCCAGTGCAGTACAGCAACCCTCACATCATATTTGCATTTTATAACAGTGTCTCTAGCCCCATGGCAGAAAAGCTGAAAGAAATGGGCATATCTGTAAGAGGAGACATTGTAGCGGTCAACTGTCTGCTAGAACACCCTGAGGAGCTCCGACTGAGTGAGAGCGAGTCAGATGACGAGGGCCCAGAACTTCTGCAGGTGACAAGAGTAGACCGAGAAAATATACTCGCAAGTGTTGCATTTCCAACAGAGATCAAGGTTGACGTGTGCAGGAGAGTAAATCTGGACATTACTACTTTAATCACATATGTATCTGCCCTGAGTTATGGAGGCTGCCACTTCATCTTCAAAGAAAAAGTACTCACGGAACAAGCCGAGCAAGAGAGGAAAGAGCAGGTTCTACCTCAGCTAGAGGCATTTATGAAGGACAAGGAGCTGTTTGCCTGTGAATCTGCTGTCAAGGATTTTCAGTCCATTCTAGATACCTTAGGGGGACCTGGAGAGAGAGAGAGGGCTACTCTACTAATTAAACGAATCAGTGTTGTGCCAGACCAGCCTTCTGAGCGTGCCTTGAGACTAGTGGCCAGTTCAAAAATTAACAGCGGTTCATTAACAATTTTTGGAACAGCAGATTCCTTGAAAGCCATCACAATGACTGCCAATAGTGGTTTTGTCAGAGCTGCAAACAACCAGGGTGTTAAGTTCAGTGTGTTTATTCATCAGCCCAGAGCACTTACTGAGAGTAAAGAGGCTTTGGCCATGCCCTTGCCAAAAGACTTCACAAACGATAGCATGTACTAACTAATGGTATCTTTTAAATGTCATGGAAATAAGTTATTTATACCAAAGGCTGGCAATTCCCATCTAAATTGGGGGGGAAAGGTTGATAGTAAAAAATGATGTTTAGAACTCTTAAACATTTAAGTAGAATTTTGTGTGTGTTTCATCATTTGAAGTCTGTAAAAATTAGAAAAAGCACAAGAGAATTTTATTTATATTATATTACAAACTACATACAGCAGTTAAGAGCAGAAATATATCTGTATGAAGCTTTTAGCTGTCTTGGAAGACTTGTTAGGTTCCAAAGGGCTTCAGCCCTCACTACAGGTAATCATGGAATATGGCTACATGATTCTTTAATTCATTAAATATC